ATCTATCTATCTATCTATCTATCTATCTATCTGTCTTTCTCCCTATCTCTCTCTCTCTCTTTCTCTTGCCCCCCCTCTCTCTCTCTCTCTCTCGTCTCCCCCCCCCCCTCTCTCTCTCTATCGATTAACACTCGCCATTTCGCAGGAACCGGCCAACGCGACGGCGCCAGCGACCCCTCCCAGCCCGCAGCAGGCGGCCACCGACACCATCTACTACGCTCTGGGCATCGTCGGCGGCGCCGTCGTCGTTGTGTTGCTCATTGTCAGCTGCCGCGCCTGCATGCAAAGTTTCTACGAGTCGGACGACGCCTACGCGAAGGCGAAGCGCAAACGCGCCGCCAACCCCGTACGCTTCTAACGTCCGCGTCAGCATCTGCGTCAGCGTCTACGTCAGCGCCTACGTCAGCACCTGCATGCATCAGCATCTGCGTCCGCACCTATTTTAGTGCCTGCGTCAGCGCTTATGTAAGCGGCTGCGTCCGCACCTACGTGTTAGCGCCTGCGTAGCATCTACGTCAGCGTCTGCGTCAGCACCTGCGTCAGCATCTGCGTCAGCATCTTCGTCAGCACCTGCATCAGCGCCGGAGTCAGCACTTATGTCCGTGTCTGCGTCAGCACCTGCGTCAGCGCCTGCGTCCGCACCTGCATCAACGCCTGCGTCAGCATCTATGTCAGGGTCTGCGTCAGCATCTATGTTAGCGCCTACGTCCGCACCTGCGTCAGCGCTTGCGTCAGCACCGATGAAAGCGCTTGCGTCAGGGTCTGTGTCAACACCTACGTCAGCGGCTGGTAGACGCGTTTAAGCATGTGTTACTTACTTAGTGCCAAGCAGTACGCCACCTAGTGGTGGTTATATGTGTCTGTCTCGCTGTTTTTGCACAGACAAAACGACGAAGAACAATTCCAACTATACAATGTCTATCGCAAGAGGGCGTGCTATGTTTAGTGGGCATTCGGTCGAATTTTGGTTCATAGCTTAGCCGGGTTAATCGTATTCGGTGTTACATGGAACGCATCTTCTTTAACTTTCAATCAACGTCGGCAATCAGTTGGCCTCTTTACCTAGGGTTAAGTCACGTCAATTATCAACTAGACTACATCGTAACCGAATTAACCCTCGTCAATGATCAGCGGGAATACAATAAGCGAGTTAAAGGTAGCTTCCCTCGAACTTTGAAGCGGCAAACATAAAATCAGGCAATAATGAATTATTTTCAAAGCTAACGTTCAGTTAAAGTGTAGTGAGTTATTTACTTACGTTTTTACAGTGGTTTGTTACAAACATTTACGTGGTAAGTTCGAGGAAAGCTATCTTTAACTCACGACGAAAGTTATACGACGAAGTTAATTAAGATAGACCGCAGGTGTTATTTACTATGGTGGGTATTTACGACGAGGCTGAGTGGGGGTGCGCCTTCGTGACGATATAACGATGCGTTTAGGAGTTGATATTACCGATTTCCACGCATATAATAGTTTGTTCGTCGATGCAAATGAATGCCATTCAAAAAGATCTTTGATAAAATTGTCATTTTTAACCATGGCACTTTTGCTATCGTCGTAAAATCCCGAAAATATATGGTTAACCAGATTACAGTTTATATTACAGTACATATTAATATAAAAATATTATAACATATTATACATATAATTAATGTGAATTAATGCACAATTTCACTCGGCTAGTTTAATGTGGCTTGGGTTAATGTGATCTAGCCTAATATTGTACACGGTCGAGAGAAAGTCCATCCACAAACGACGCGCGGTACTCAGAATTTGTCGAAAATAAATGTGAATGCTAACCAGAATGTAGCGTTGCATTATAACTTCCTTTAAAGGCTGCTGGTTATATATAGGCATTAAATTGATTCACTCTAGAATATGTCTGTGGTGAGCCCTGTTTACAGTTTGACACAACAAACATTGCAACTCAATGGTCAATTGAATGATATAATGTATATTGAAATAGAGAGCGAGAGGGGAGCAAATGGAGGGGGTAATTGTGAGAGAGAGGCAGAAAGAGGGGAGAGAGATGTAAATAATACACATAAGTATAGTTAGCTCACAATCATCATCGCTGTATTTAAAAAGTTAGCAAAATCAGTACAGATAACCACGACTAAGTCATATAGATACATTCTAGATTCTAGATAGATAGAGCTTCTTCACCATACCGATAAGATCTATTTTTCGAGAACTGATTTGTGCAGTGATTTCCCATCAACAGCCAAATTGGAATCTAAAGCCATGAATACCGGAAAGAAGGAACAAATGAAAGCAATATTCTAAATAATGCATCATGTCGATTATATCAGTCGTCAAGCTGTATCGCACTAAAGGGGCATGTGATAGGACAATATACATGTGACATTATATTAAGTAACTACCGTCATTAAAACTTTGAATAGCTGGCATCCTAGCTGTTATAAACCTTCTGTACACAGACCAAATGACATCATCTATACACATACGGCGAATCGCGCGTATACTATCGACTTATATCTATAATTTATTATTTCGTATTTACATTTCCTAAAAAGCACCTATGATGGGCAAGTAACCGGTCGACTAGCGGACAGATATTAATCTATTTACATAATATTATGAGGGAAACGACGCAGAAAAGATTCAAATCTCATGATAACAAACGCCGTGTTAACCCGTCCGATACCTATATGATCAGAGATAGATAATCACAACCCCTTTGTCATTATATCTACCCCTGCTGTAACATACCCAAAACGAGCCGTATTGTAGAAAGTATCATATACAATCGAGAGAAACAAAATTGCTACTTGTTAAATATTTATAGCTTGGTTTTTTTTTAACTGTCGTTAACGTCAGCACACAAGGCGTCTAACGTAGACTTCAATTAATTGCATAGGCAATATAGTTAGCGTTCGCAGTCGATACCATCCATTGTTCATCAGTAGTTGTGACACATCTGAAACGTACGTGCAAAGAAATTATCGTTAGGTTATATCAAGAGTAGATAATAGGGAAGGAGTGTGACTTCAAAATACCTATTATCTACTCCTGGTTATATGAAACGCTTTTCACTTAATCGCTTTGTTATAATCTCGTTGTTATTATCTCCGTAATATATCGAATTTCGCAGTTTGGCATTAATCAAATTTCCGCTTAAAATTCGCTATTATGTAGTTGATCATGACGCAGGATAATATCTTTTACAAGTGTGTGTGTGTGTGTGTGTGTGTGTGTGTGTGTGTGTGTGTGTGTGTGTGTGTGTGTACTCTTTTTCCTCCTCCTCCTCTTCTTCCTCCTCCTCCTTCTCCTCCCCTTCCTCCTCCTCCTCCTCCTCTCCCTCCTTCTCTTCCTCCTCCCCTTCCTCCTCCTCTTCCTCCCCCTCCTCCTCCTCCCCTCCTCCTCCTCTTCCTTTCCTTCCTCCTCCTCCTTCTCTCCTTCCTTCTCCTCCTCCTGCTCTTCCTTCTCCTCCCCCTCCTTCTCCTCCTCCTCCCCTTCCTCCTCCTCCTCCTGCGCTTCCTCCTCCTCCTCCTCCTCTACTTCCTCCTCCTCCTCCTGCTCCGCATCCAACCAACTCTCGGCCTCTGCTCATGCCCAGCCATGAAACATGACTGTCCCTCGCCTAACCTGCATGTAATCAGAAGTCCATCCATTTTTTTTTTTTTTATAGTTTGTATAATTTGTATTATTTTTATTTTTATTTTATTAAATATTTTATTGATAGACGACTAATTATTATTTTATTTATTGATAGACTCCTGATGTAATTCATTTAGCTTCTTCAACGCGTAGTCACGTACAAATTCTTTTCCCGTTATGGGGACGTGAAGTGTTAGGTGTGGGTAGGAGCAAGTTGAGTGTAAGCGCATGCGCAGTTGAGGTTGGGCAGAAAATGCGCCCTTGACACTAACCCCCAACGGAGCCAACGTGATGAGTCTATGAATACAGGCAAGGGACTTTGACCATAATTCTTCTACGATGGGAATAAGCTACATGACCATTTTCCATGGCAACACGCACGATGCAAAAAGTACCAGTTTATTCGACTGAGCATTTTGCCAGCACCGCCCGCCATGCCATTAGCAAACAACCACTCCCCCCATAATGTCTTTGCGCTAATGGACCTTTGCTCCCGCTCTCCGTTATTTCCGGCAAAACGATGGGAATTTCGGGAAAATGCCACCACGGGAAACCAATGGGATTTTGGTATGGGCGCGGCTGGAAAATAACCCATGGGAAGACTTCCCAATTATTTAGCGGTGGTCAGCGTGATGGGATCCAATAGATCGCGAACCTTACAGTGTAGAGACGCGGCACTGCATCTGCGCAGTAACCATAGAAATGTTATAGATAACCTATATATTTCTATTCTATTCTATTATATATATTGCTATAATATATTTCTATTATATTCTAGATTATCTCTATTACTTCTATGGCAGTAACTAACCCGATCACTTCGAGAATTCCGTCTGCAATGATGAACATCTCTCTCGCGACTTCGCCCTTCCTGCAGATGAGATCACCGGGAGTGAAGATGGACCCCTTCATCTTCAGCACGAGATCGTGTAGAAACTCCGGCTGGCACTCTTGAAATATCGTCACCTGCGGCAAGATGAGGCGTCAGCGCGCATGCGAGGGGGACTGGGAAGTGGGTGGAGGGCTGTCTGTGATCTATGCGTTAATGAATACATGTAACTTGAGAGAGCACGCGGACGTGTGAGTGATGAGTCTGTGTGTATAAGGTTCGTATATACGATCACCCTCTGGGCGTTGAGAAATGATCGCCAGCGTGTCCAGACGATGAATTAATCATAGCTGAGAATAATTAGCGGTTGTGTAATTAGATGTTCAGTGGCTTAATGGATAGAGCGATATCGTGTAGCCAACGTTGGACAAACACGAGCGAGCGCTGATGGTATTATGTGGGGGCAAGATCATGTTGAAACCTGGCTTTGCGTTTTGATCGATGAACATTTACATTACGGGGGATAAAGATCAATGCATAGTCGCGTTCACATTTTCCAACTCAATCATACTGATAGTCAGTTGGTCGGTCGGTCGGTCGGTCGGTCGGTCGGTCGGTCGGTCGGTCGGTCGGTCGGTCGGTAAAATAGAATGAGGAGCTCAATTTTTCATTTAGCTACGCTATTATAGTCGAAAGAACACCAGACTTAGCCACGCCAGACTACACGTCAAGTTTATTGCTCGACCCGACACGAAGGAGGAAGTGACAACATACGCGCAGTCGCGCACGCGTAGTACACGTCGAGACAACATACGGTATTGTCTATGCACGTAACTTCCTGTAGTGACTCCCTGGCGCCACTCTTCTTTTCAATTATAATTAAACCAACTCAAAAGAATATCTACATGTACTTTACAAGCCACCATCGTACATGTATAAATTAAACATTAGAGGTGATAAATGACAAATTCACCAACTTTGCCGATCAATAACCTTGTAATGGTCATGTCCATACAGGATACGCAATATACCGTAATGTGTATATTTGGTCAGTCCAAAGTTATACTACAGTCACCCCATCAGAGAGCTTAGCATCACCAGTCACACACACAGCCCTACTTCCAACTTACCGCAATACTTCCATCATACCAGAATTATACGCGCTACCAGTAACCACGTAAACACATAAGGAAGCACATGTTGATGAGTACAAATATCGTCGCTCGCGCCTTGGTCGGCCTCCCTCGAGACAATGATCAACTACATCTGAATTCACACAATGCGACAGACCCCCCTGGAGGTACTGGGATATTCACGACACCAGGAATGTACGTAGAATCTGGAGAACCTCTATCTAGAGTCGGCGGGGTTTTTATAACGCTGGGAATCTCGGGGGGGGGGTCTGGAGGATCACCGGAGCCTGGAGGATCACCGGAGCCTTGACCAACATTTTCCTCGTTATCGTCGTCTTCATCGGATGAGTCGACATCCGCAGGAGAAGAATGTCGTCCACTCTTGACAACAGGAACTTTATAACAGTCAGACTGTCTGCCCCTATATGATTGGCGACGAAGTTGGGAACCGGCAAACTTTCTAATACTACACTAACTTCCCCCAATGTTCACAACCAGATACCTATCACGAGCATGTGACTTATTGCGATCCGATCGCAAATACACCGGATCACCAATCCCAATATGCCCCGATCGGGGAGCAAGTCCACTTTGTGTGTTCGATTTTTTACTTAATGGGTGGTTTGAACACCTCAACTCATGTTGACGTAGTATGATTTGGCTGTCGTCAATAGTTATCTGTTTGTGGGTGAACTGGTCACGCTATTTCTCAACCGGGTATTCAATCGTGCAACAGCAATCGATAACATGACAGGCGAAACAGCACGGCAAGAGGAATCTTGACTTAAAATTTCCTCTTTCAATTTCTGTATCGCTTTTTCGGCTACCGGGTTTTTGTTTACATTCTTGGTTCTACCTAACTCCAACGTAATGTGATGGCGTGACAGGAGTTCATCATTAACCAGTGCGGCAAAACCAGGTGCCAGATCCGTTCGCACAACAGCAGGGGGTCTCTCAAGAGGACGTAACCTTATACACAACTGCAATATCGCATCCCTAAGCGTTTCATGACGTTTGTTTTCCACAAATGTGGCCACGGTATAAGATGTAACATACTCTCGAACCATCAGAATCATCTGACGCTCACATCTGATGACATCCGCAGCAAACAAATACCCTACACATTCAGGTGGATCGCATGTATTCTGTTCACTGGTCATTTGTGGAAATTTCTTGAGAGAAGCACACTGATGACAACCCTGCGTGACCTGCCCTATCGTTTTGCCCAGACCCAAAGCGTAGAAATATCGTTAAGCAACGGATTTCAACTGGTAAGCAGAGGGATGGCCCAACTTGATATGCAGAGCAGTAAGGAAGCTTTCACTTCACTTCCAATACACTCACGAGACGGGGACAATGGTACCTCACGTTCACTACAAGTAAACCATCTCTAGACAGGGTAGCTATGCCTAAGTAACGTTTTACGTCTTTGACATTTGTGAGCCCTGACGCAGATGAGCGCATGTACGGCGCGAATTAGCACATTCTGACTGAATAGCTAACCAAGCAGACCTACTAGTGAACGGCATTTTGACAGACCCATCCAAAACTTCCTTTGTAGACACGTGACGCACAACGGAGTCCTCAATTTGTTGAACAAATGAATAGACTTGACATGCAGGATTCTCACACTTTGGTGCGTTACGACTAGCGAAGTCTGATGGTAATATGGCTGACCCGCTAACGTATCTGACTGACATCTGATACCGACTAGCCGTAGACAAGAATGACAGAACTCTGGGACTGGCAGAGAACTGACCCCTACACAGCTTCTCATATGCCTGCACACACGGTTTGCTGTCAGTGAAAACACATGCGTTTAAAGAAGACTGAATAACGTACTCACTGAAATGTTTTATGAAAGCGGCAATCGACAAAGCCTAGATTTCACATGGTAACCAGTTCACTTGGTTTTTGCGTACTTTTGCACTAAAGAACCCGGCGAGTAACACCTTAGACCCGCGGGTAGCATACACGGTGGCCCCAGACCATATCTCTTGACTGACCCATCTGTAACAATCCAGAGTTGATCCTCTGCCCTGGGTAGAGTAATGGAGCGAGTAGTACCTAATGCATCCTGGGCCTTCTTGAAGGCACTATGTAGGTCATCGGTTCACATAATCAATTCTTTTGATTCTCGTCCCGCAACTGCGTCATCCAACGGAGCTAACAGGGATGCACTGCCCTGAATTACCCTGGCGAGGACTTTAAACGCACCAATGAAGGAACGCAGACCTGACACCTGAGTATGGGCACAACACGCAGATAGAGCAGCAACACGATGTGGGCTAGTACGAATAGTACCCAGTTCCCAAATCCACCCCAAAATTGACATCCGTTTTGGAGCGATAACCGTTTTGGATGCAGACAAATTCAAGCTGCACTTCTGTAAGGCAGACAGCACCCTTTCCCATGCACCGAGTAACTCCTCAGGAGTGTTTCCTCCCACATACAAATCATCAGCCACTTTGGCTACCACACCTTCTTCTACCAAGTCGCCCAGTACCCGACATGTCAGTTCCTCCAGTGCTGTTCCCGAACCTGGTATGCGCATGGCTGAATGAACGTAAACTGTAACACCCTTGAACGGAGTGACAGTACCGCAATACTGCATGGACTCCCGGGAAAGTGGAATCTGGTGAAAGACCTTCGTAAGATCAGTCACAATAATATATCTCCACCGGGCAATCTGTCTCAGAGTAGAATCGACATCCGGCATCAAAGACGGTTGAGGTTTACTGTACCGACCTACCTCAGCAAACGCTGTGACTAATCTAAACCCGCCACAACGTTTTTTTACAAGAAATTACGGGCTAACATACTCGACACAGACTCCAATGTCCTCCGGTCGCTTGAACACACCAATCTTCTCCAGATCGTCGAACTGATTCTGAAGTTCAACTAGTTGATTGCGAGAATATTGGTGTGTCCGTCCCTTACGCTGTGGAGAAAGTACAGGGCTCATGTTAACTATTGCTTGAAATGGTCCAACTGCCCCGTTGTAACCCTTGAACACGGGATTGAATACGTCGTCATATTTCCGAAGACCGTCTGTAAATTTTGTCTTCCACTCCCCCGTTAGTATACTGTCTGGATTAACTTGCACTTGATCCGAATAACTCTCAGTAGACTCTCCGGGACTAGTGTTCGACGATAGACATGGATGTGTCGCCGATGTTGTGTCAGACTCTTGTGTTGGCCTGTGAGCCGTGACTACGTCGGATGCTTCCTCAGCCATTGTTGCACGCACTGTCGCAATGTGTTCATTGCGGCAAAATGTATTGAGTTCTCCCGCCAAATTTGGTATGCGAACCACACCAGATACACTCGAGACTAAGCCAGGCTGAGGCCAGAGATCAGACTGTTTCTCAGCACATCGGTGGGGCTCAATAGCCAGCAAGTCATCAGAATCGCATAGTTCGTCTGGAATCTTTACTTCTAAGAACCCCCCCCCCCAGGCCAAACAGTAGTTGTGTGAATGGGTGCACTCAACACGTGAGCTCTCCGAATAATACATGCAGTCTGTCACTCGGAGACTGTAGCGAGCCATATTTGAAAACGGAATCATTGCCAACAGTAATTTGTCACTGTGCCGGTCGAATTGAAATATCATTTTGTTCCATGAATCCCACCCGCCAAAATATCCGTGTCCAAATTCTCCACGACCAAGCCTTCAAAATGAAGTCTATGTCCATCACGAGTGAAAAACAAACGAGTCTCCCCCCATCACTTTCAATGGGGATAACCCATCAGCCTGGTGAGCGAACTGCGAACTGCTAGTAATGTTGGCGCCTATGCGAACAGCAGTAGATGCACGGATCATGTTCCCAGTTGCCCCACAGTCCATAGTCACACGAACTGGGTGATGGGCACAAAACACAGCAAGATATGGGGACTGGTGAATCTGAACTCTGCTGACAGTGTCTTCCAAATAACGATCACACCCTTCATCTTCAACCTCGTCAGCGTCACATGGGCTAAGCACTTGACGAGCTCTTGCCATA